CTTCCCCTTAAAAGTATACAGTTTACGATTTTTATAACTTGTTTAGATGTCTACATTCATAGAAAATCCCCTCGTGATAGATAAGTCATTTTGGCAAATTGATATGAGGAAAAGCACTAAAATAATTCTTAATTTGTAAAAAGGATCACGCAACAAGTCATCTCAGACGAGGAATTTATCAACATCTCTAACATGGAAAACATTGCTTCCAACTTGAGACGAAACGCATAAATATACTTGATATATAGAGGATACTGAATAAGTTTAACTTAAATACTCAAGATATTGCACGAGTTGAATAAAATTGTTTTACGCGAGCCTCTGGCGAGCATAATATTATTTTATTCAACGTTCGAATGAACGTACGATGAACGTACACGAAAATTGTGTAACTTGTCTTGACTGATATATATTCGACGCTTATAATTAACGTATAGCAACAAACACTACGAGCCGACCGTATCCATGTTTTTGACGGACAGAATCATAAAATGTCATTCAATTATTTTTGACTTTTAACTTTGTAAGTTAATATGTCAATAAAATTCACCAAAGTTTGGGTATTGTAAATGGCAACATCCTTTTATCTTTCGTACTAAATAGTAATATTAGTAAAATGTATTATAGACTGATGTCATTCCTTGGTACCTTCGTCGCGTTATTACACGTTACATATGACGTCAGTATTAGTTGACATTAAGCAACGTTTCTATGATGCATAATAAATTATATACGACGCTTAAAATATATACATATGTCTTTCATGCACAGGTCAAAGTAACATTGAATATTTATCATTGGGTACAAGCAAATCATAACGTGTTCCTTTCCTACAATTTTAAGATAAAGTACTTGCACGAGTAATTCAGTTTATTTCAGAATTTTTCGCGTATAATTTTTGACGCCTTTCCAATGTTTTAGTGACGTACAATCACATTCAGCTCCGTAATTTAACAAGGCTCCCGATGAAGTAACAAATAACCCTACGTATTCCAGAAACCAATTTAAAACACTTGCAAACATGATGAAATCACAGATAATAACTTAAGAAAAGCATTAAAAGCTGGAGACGAGAAGGTGAATAACTATACGCTTATTGGAAAATCAATGAACATCATTGCGTATTTTAAAGCAAAAGTGTCTTTTTATGCATAAAATTTGTAACAAAATACGTTACTAGCAATCTTTTGTCTTTCAATGTGCGAACAAAGAAAGGCATTGGTAAATGTGAAATAGACGTATGGAAACAGTGCATACTTCGGTCTGTAATTATAAATCTTAAAACGAAAAGCAAATGTATAGTTTATCTTCTTGAATTTCGTCTCATTTTCTACAAAAAATGCAAGCTCTGCTAGAAAATGATCGTCAATTAAGCAATTAATTTGTTTTGGTAATATTTTTTCTCTGTCAAGTTTCCACTGCGGAAAGGCGTAATCCGTTTATTTGTTTTTATTTTGTTTTAAGTTGCACCGGCATGGTAAAGGTACATTAGGCGACTGTTTCATTTTACTGGTTGAGGAACACATCAGAAGTACATTCGTGCATTATTGTCGGCAGAAATCGGCACCTGAGAAATACAAGCAAACTCCTTTAAGCTAGGTGAATAGCTTTCTCTCACAAAAGAATCCAGTAATTAATGGGATTTGAATCAACAGAAGTGAGGGGGAAGCTAATTGTAACTGATAAAATCTGAACCCACAGAAATGAGGGACAAGTTAATTGAAGTCAATTAACTTAAACACTAGGCAACGGACGGAGGCTTCTAAGAGTAACCTGTGCCAATAGATTAAAGTGCTGAATCCAATATTATTTATAGATTCACATTTAAATGAGTTCAAAAACAAGAAAAAAGTTAAAAGTTGATTGATCTACAATGGGCATAATTCCCATATGTATTTATTATATTTTTAAAAATGATTGAAATGTTTCGTTTAGGTCTTGTTATAAAATATGTTTTAAAAATAAAATGTTGATAGAGTTCTCAGTGATTTAGAATTAGCAAAAAAACAATGCAATATTTAGATAAATAAAGTTAATAAAAATAACATTTAGTTCGAGCACAATTTATTATCTGCTATATCATTATACACACTTGCCAACAACATCACTATAAATTTCTTTATAGTTGTTATGTTTGATAATAGATATTATCTTTGATAATAGATATAATCAACATAACATTTTTAAAGACCTTCCATTATAGACAAATACACATTTAATATCGATCGATTAATGTACTATGTACCATCATGTACCATTATTTCAACGGTAGCTGTGTCGACTCGTGTACAATAGTTTGATATTTAAGAATAGCAGCTTTTAAGCTCTATGGTATTCCTTCAAAAAGTTATATTACGTCCATGTCTTAATATTATTATGGCAGAAATGTATTGATTGCTTATTACAAATTACATGCACGGTTTTACTAACAGCTATTTTTGACTCATTGTAATACGTGTTAAGTAGAATCACATGATTCACGCTACAGACATTTATTTTAAAACATCCCCACAAAACAAATAATATTACACTATTATTTCAAGGACTTGAAAATGTATAAATGAGTAGAGACTACACACATATGTTTAATTTCAAATAAACCCCTTACAATTGCCATCTACTCGTAAAAGGCAATACATCTGTATTTTTTCTCAATAAACAGTATATCTGTAAAGTTATCTGACTATATTGTAATCTTTTAAAAAGTATTGTATTGCTAAATATTTACATTGAAAGGCAGTTAATATGTTCATTGATATTTATAAAAGCAGTATATTTGTACATAAAAAAAACTCAAAAAGCAAATTATCAAACCTGTTTTCTCAAAAATATATTTATATCTTTAAAAGGAATAAAGTTATATAGAAATTAAAAGAAATATCAGTTAATATGTAATCCAACGTAAAAGCATCTCCATATCTATTGAAAAGGTCTTTAAATTTAAGGAAAAGTAGATCTACTAGTGTAACCAAAAAGCATTGCGCTGTTGCTCTTATTCACCGGACTGAAAGTAAATCGTAATTACTGGTATACTAACATACCATAATTATAGCATGACCGGATCTCTTTTAGGTTCTATATCAAACGTTTGTGATTAAGGAAGAAATATGTTCATAGCATTGATATTATGATCAACAAGAAATTGATCAATTTATCCGTGATACATAATACTGGCTGATTGCTAAAGTGATATGGACAAGGAAGAACATCTTTGTGCTTTGTGGTAACAACACGCAACAAGGCAAGTCAGACCCGGAAATCGTTTTTTTAATTAACTTTTCATCACATCACCATGAGTATGTCACATACGACCTTATTCAAGTTTTGAAAATAAACAAAAAGTATGTTAGTTCAAATAACAATATGGTTACATGCTTTAATATACTTACTGTATTTGCTAAAAATACCAAAGAGGCAGATAACTGCATTAAAATATTGCTGCATAAACAGAATAACTCCTGATTCATTTATGAAAATGTTTGTTTAAAAACCCTTTACTATGGATATGATAATCATTCCAAATACATACACAAATATTGTAGTATTGTGCATTTTTATGCATCCGAAAGCAGTATGAAACGCAATACTTGCTATGGAAATTTAATGTGACCATAAAGGTCTCTGATTTATATTGTTTTTAAATAAACTGTCAACCATACCTTAGATTTTGTTTAATTTTGAGACCAAACACTTCATAATTTTGAATAAAAAAATGAACCACTGGTTAAAGATAACCCAAACATGTTATTGTTTCAATAAAAATTAAAAGGGGCATAACAAAACATTTTCTCTTGCGAATATTTATGAGTTTTGCAGAATAAGCGACAATTTTCACAATGATGAATTTATCGTTTTATTGATGAAAGTTTGGTATTTTCTTCAACTGCAATTGATAGGTTCCATCAAATTAAGAAAATTAAGTTGTGAAGTCATGTTTAACTAATTTTCTTAGTACCCAGACGCAAATCCTCTATACCCACATACACACATTTGGTACGTTTTAACATCTGTCGACCTTCACCTTTTACCCTAAGATCTTATGAAATGCTCTAGAACTTGTCTGTTACTTTCAAGTCAGAATGCTTAGCCACGTTTGTTAATTTACACATAAAATATTTCAACATTCGTGACATTTCCCTAAGATATCATGAATTGTGTGCGAATTACTTAAATTGAAATTCTATCATGAATCATTTGTGATAAAACAAGTTTGCCATCATTGTTTGCAATCGAACGGAAATCAAAAGACATTGATTATATATAGGCGAGGCTTTAGAAGCCGGCTTATGGGTTATAAAGATAAAACAAAATGTATAAAGGGTCACACAATATCTCATACGGGCTTTATCAATAATTAACCCATGTAATGGAATTTTGATGGACATGCATTAAATAAGAAATATATTAAATGTCATGGCATTAGTCGAAAGAATGTATTGTTCTTTAACGGCATTTGCCGTGCACATGCACAGGAGGAATAGTACATGTATATTAAACATAACAGTAGACAATGATTCATTTGAACAAATATGCATATTCTCAGTTATGATGATGCCAGAAATATGAACTGTAGTATTTGATGTGTTTTTTTTGTATTATGTACGAGTATTTAAAGTAATTTCAAACTTTTCAGTTGATTGCGTATAAAAAGATAATGTTAAAAACAATTATAAAAGAAATGACAGATTTTGTAACATCGATTTTATTTTGTTCTGACAAATCATTTGTATTTGTTAGTATGATTATGTTAGTTTGTGGATACTGAGCGTTGGCTTTTGCAAAGAAGAAGTCCAAACAATAACTTACGAGAAAATGTTTACTTTTCTGACAATGCATAAAACAAATATGTATTTTACTTGATGACAGAAACAAGAATTGTTTGTGTTTGTTATGTGCAATTATGATCAATTTAATTATGAGTATTAGGAAAAGTCATTGAAAATATCTAAAACCGACCTAAAAACCAAAACAGCATTCAAAACAAGTATTGCGCTGCTTACCGACACTGGTATTAAATCCGCCCAAATATTCCAGAGTCATAAACTGTTGTGCCAAACCTGTCTTCCCTACACCAGGTCCACCAAGAACCATCACATGCAAAGGAACTATTTCTTGACGATCTACTGTCTTATTGGATTCATGTAAACTTTCTTTTGATTCTGAGCTAGATGTAATTTGTTGTCGTAAATTAATACAAAAATCTCCTTCAGAAGAATAAATGCTATTGGTACCTTTTAAACGTAATGAATCTGGCCTCTTTGTAATCACTCCTTTGGAATTTACTTCAAAAGACCTTACGCTATATGTTTTATTGTCAACAGCGTGGCTTAATCTAAAATGCACTCGTTGCAGTTGGCGTTTGTCAGGTTTTTTAATTGTACCTCTCGTTGGCATACTATAAGTTCTTTGCCTGATGTCATCATGAAATAAAATGTCCATATTGTGCTCTTTTAACTTTTTACGGGAGGCAACACATTTCTGTGATGTTTGTAAAATATTCATATTGTTTGAAACAGTACATTTTAATGACTCGCTACAATTATGTGGAATATTATGACGACCTTCTTCTGTATTTTGAATTGTTGACATGACGTATGCTATTTTCCTGTATATATATCACACACAGTAAATAAACAAAAAGATCTTCCGTTATATTAATACACAAATATTTAATATTTCAGCTATAAAACAATCATTTTCTAGTGATGATAACTCCTATTTTTCATGATTTCCTTATCACATTTAATGTATTTATTTACATCCGTTTGAACATCTTATATCCAAGCAAACATTAGAAACATATTTTAAACATTTTATTGAAGAGACCTCCGACATCAAACTGTATTAACCATACGTCAATAAGGATAAGATTTTCGTCCCCGCGACAGAAATTGCAAAGAATTGATTCGCGAAACAAATATCTGTTATTCTTGAGAGTGTGAAAGAAACAACGATTTAGTTATAAAACATGTATGTACACAGTAGTTACCTACATGCTTCACAGGGAACTTGCATGGTTATTATCAAACTTTAAATATGTGTCAAAAGCAATTATGGTTTTTATCTATTGATCTTGTCGTTCTGGTTATCGCGCAAAGAATTGTTCGGAAGAACATTTAATTACTGGCTTAACACACTCCTACTAAGATTGTTAAAAGTGTATAAAGGGCACAATTATATAAATATTTTTGTATGTTGGCATTTAATCGGCTTAAAAATGGGAACCATATGCCAATTCCATTTGCTGTCTGACATATTTTCTCCCACATAAATCATTACGTTGCATAATTCCTTTGTTTTGTTTATAATAGTCGTTTACATGAAGAATGGAGATTATTCATCAAATTTGTTAATATGGGAAAGTGGAAAATAACAGAATAACAGGAATATATTTTCCAAATGAAAAGTAATTATAATGCTATTCAGTTGGATTATTAAAAGCTGCAATCGACTATTCAATGGCTATCAGATGCTGAATATAAATTAACAATAATTTGACAATAATGACAATATAGACAATAAAAACGCATACACGCACAAAATTCCCGTATCTTTCGTACTGATCTTTTATATCTGATCTAGATTAAACAATATTTCATTGTAATCTTACTGGATAAAAATATCTTGATCAGGTTATATTAACTTGTAACTGAGTTTAAAATATAGCGATAATTTGTATGAGACCTAAATGAAGAAAATTACACGAACAAGTCAATACACTTAAGTCAGCTTACAAGCGAACTTTTTTAGTGTCATTTAAGTGCATATTTTGTCACCATTAGCTCAAAATGTTTTTGGTACAGAAGTCTAGAAATAGTCAAATCGATTCAATGAAGAAGTATCATTCTTACAATTTCAAAGAGACGGCCTTAACAAAAAAACATGGGAAAACATGTTTTCCTAATGTACCAAATTTCACTTGATTAGACTTAATCAACACATCCTTCCTTCGTTTATGAGACGGTTTATCACTGGAAACGAAATAAACCAAATTAATGAAGTTCAAGATGAATTATATCTTTACACTGTATTCGGTTTTATGTCAATGTTTATCACTTTTGAAGAAAATGTATGTCTATTTAATTACAATTCACATTTCATTCCCTTTTTCTTCAGTGTGAGAAGTATATCCATCTGGTTTTATTTACAAAGGAACTTTCAATAAGAAAGGCATGTCCCTGTATAGAAAGCTTTATACTGTACGTGCGTTGAAACATAATTATAGATAAAATGACATTGGTTTTCGTAGAAAAGTACGTTCGACCTTTGCAAGGAAGGAATAGGAATTTAATTAGTAAAAAGCTTCTTGAAATAACAATCAATTATCGTCAATTATTGGTCTTACAAAAGAAACTTTATATTGACTGTTTAGTTACCTATAAACTTTACTGTCATCTGAATAAAGATTAAAAGAAAGAAAAGGCACAAGAATCGCTTTCTAAGGACAGCGTACAAATTAAAAGTTATGTGAACCATTAGGATAAAAAATTGTTCGGTTCGCCTTAGTCTTTTGTTTTTGTTCGGTCCGACGTAGCAATTACCCTTTTCGTTTGGTTTGACACATCATCAACAGCGTTTCAATCAGAATACAGACATTTGTAGATTTATAATGATTTCTTGATTATATTAATTCCTAACCTGTATCGTTACTCAAATGTTATCTGAAAACCCACAATCTTAATTAATATATGTTAATTAAGTAACACTGTTAAAGTTAATATATATAAGTTTTATAATATTGAAGCATACACCCGCTAATTTAAAAGTCAACAAAAACTATTCAAGAATGATATTTACCGTTGTTTTTTTTGTACCTCAAACATTTGTCAGCTTATCCATTATAATGAATCAAAATACATCTGATGATGTTTGTAACCTAGAATATCTAAATGCAATCGTATCGAAAATGAAGATCTGCGCAGGTGTTGAAATTACAGAGGACGCGTTACGACACGAAAATTATATTACGTTTCGTTTTATACTGTGATAGGACGGGTACGCTTCACTCATGCCGTAATGTGCCAGGAATTCGACAACATGTATCTTTTTAATATATAGACTGTGTTGTTCGTAATGGTTTATCATACTGATTCAAATGAACAATAATTATATATATGGATATTTAATAAGCAAATGGCCAACGTTAAAAATCAAATTTGAGCACAAACGTAGTGTATAAGACATCAAGCCATCACACCCGTTACCAAATCTAACCAAAATATAGCCTTGCTTTATTGTATAAAGGGTGGCTATTTAAGCTTTTGAAACCAGTCCTATGTCCGCACAGCACTTTTCAAATAATTCAAAAGAAAATTCAAAACTTAAAAGACAAATTTTCTTCTTCAAAATAAACTTGTTTCCTGTTACTAAATGTAAACAAATGGATATATTGAAAAATTCAGATGTTTTATGAGAGTGCAATGCAACAGCTCTTACACCGATGTGTTTTGTCTAAACGCAAAACAGTTCCTCTTTAATGGAGACAACGTGATTTGCACCTGATTTAATGTTAACCTGGTTCCACGATATTATATCTCGGCAAACTACAGACAGTTGAACAGTCCATTATTTGTATACTGAGACTAGAAAACACTGCCTTTCCATTTAGGAAAATGTAAATAAAAACGTTTTGCAACAAAACCAGAAATTTATGATTGGTCATGAAGTGTGAATGTGATGTATGTGAATGTTGTTATGTACTTGTGTGTTATTGAAGACTTGCAAAATAAATCGTGTCATTCCGTAGTAAGTCATGCCTCTTGTTCAAAATTATAATTATATGACTCGGCTGCATTGCAGCAGAATGAAAATGTTACAGGCTCGGTTTGATTGAGCCTGTTCATGATGCACTAAAAGTACATGCAAACTATCCCTTTTACGCATCAAGCAACGGCTTTGATTAAATTATGCGTAGATGAATTCATACGAACTTAAATATGTTAATTCAAAATGACAATACAAAGAATTTTAACAATGTGGCTGAAACTTTTTTTTTTATTTGAAATAACTTTTTACAATCTTTTTGATTTATCGTTCGAAAACTATACCAACATTTGATTAAGGCAGCGTCATAATCTATAATAATGACTTGAGAGAACAGGATATATCAAATTATGTTGTCATTCGTGCATGACTATTGTCATTCGTGCATGACTATTTCTACGTTTTTACTTTAGTAATTTCATCTGCTTCTGAAAATGGTACAATCAATCAGTCACATTTTCAAAATTCTTTAATTGAAATAATAATTGCTTGAAATAAAAATAGATGATAATTAAAATCATTTCAGCAAATTGATGCAAGAAATCGAATTCATAGACAAACGATATCCGTTCTTTGATTGTGGAAGAAGATGGATCCTCAAACCCACAAAAGGCAATTCATTATTTGTGTAAAGCAATTATTGGTATGTTCGTTTACTCAAGGAAGATTATTCAAGATTATGTGATATCATTTTTCGTACCAATATATTAAGTTCCAGAACTGAAATCATCAATTGATCTGCGCTGATCACTCCTAGATTATCCCGAATGATAAATACATCAAAATTCCATTTATCTGTTCTTTTTTACTTACTAGTATGTTTCCTGTAAAGAAATTTCCATTATTTTACATAAATATTTCTACAAATAGGACTCTTAATTTAAAGAAATAATAAGTATTGACATTTTGACCTTTTGCAGTTACAATTTTAAAATAGCATAGGAACACCAAAGTCGTTTAATTGATTCAATTCGTATTTATAAAGTATTTGACAGTTTTGAATTAAAACGTTATTATTTCAATCTATTTCAGGGCTTTTCATGATTGCATTTTGACACCTTTCCGATATTACATCAAAATTAATTCAAATAAAAAGATCACAAGCTTCACAACCTTCAGAATTATGAGGGAAGTGTCTGGATTTCACACCTGCTGTGAAATTAATTAGTTACAAATATATGATGTATTTTCATGAGAACCTCACGAAGTTAAATGCAACGCAAATGAATGTCTTGAGGACAGACAATTTATACCAAGATGGAATTGAAAGTTTAAATAGAAAAAGTGTTTGAAAGACACAAAATAACAGATTTTCGTCTATAATGTACACAAAGGACTCCTTAAATAGATAAACATCTTGAAAAAATTCACATCTAATTGAGTTATTTCACTGAGTCTATTAATTTCCCAAAATGTAGAGTGCATAACAAACCACATACACCTATAGTGCTGCAAATAGACTCCAATAACTTGCTTATTTAGGGGAGTAACTGGTCCCCGATCATAAACAGGAGGTTTCATATACCAAAATGTTCGTCTGGATCTCTACAATACGAAATGGGATTTCACTTTTTCCAAAAGTGCTAGCGGACTGAGAAATCCAAGATGGCGTCCAAGATGGCCGCCAGAATTTGAAAATTACAATGTAAACTTCATTTCATTATTTTTTGCAGTAAAAAAACTGCATATATTCCACTTTTCCCATCCATGTATTGGATTTGTTTCAAAAATGCAGTAGAGTAAATATTTGTTGGTGTAAAAATATTCTTGGAAGTCAGAAACAAAAAAAATATGACAAAAATGCCCAAAAATAGTATTTTTCAAAGATGTCTTGCTAT